TAGTGGGAGATCACGAGTAAATAGGCCCAGCCCATCAATTAGCGGTACCGCGCATGCCCAGTTCGCCGAGGGTTTGCACTTCAGTGCTTTTTCATTATGGTCAGATTTACTAGCAAACTAACCTACTACAAACAAGGCTATTCGAACTGCAACGTTTAGGGAATTGCACAACATCTAACTGCATTCATTGTAGAATGTTAGAACTTTACTTGTAATGCCTAGTTTTTTCATTATTTGCAGCTAACGGTAACGGCAGACACAGCTTCAGGTTTGGTACAGAACATATCGACTATCCTGAGCAGTGCTAACGAGGAGGACCAGACACCAGATAACCTTGTACGTGTCACTGGGGTGCTGGAGGGCGTGGTCGGACTGATCAATAATGGAACCTTTGACATCGATGAAAATGTAAGATGGGACTAAACAAAATTAGTCAGATATATATACAACACTGTATGATATTCCCGATATTATATTGTGTATAGCTTGCTGAGAACACTGTTGAAATTTTGGATGATCTGAGTGACTGGCCTGCTGAAGTTATTGAAGAGCAGTCAACTGCGTGAGACACTAATACAAATAAACCAATAGCTAGAATAGCCCAATAATGTGCTGGATACAGTGGAACCTTTGAAATGTACATCATTGTCCTTTTACTAAGGAGAGATTGTCCTTTTCTTGGAGGTTGAAAATGCACTAGAATCATAGAAAAGTAAACGTTTGGGACCTCAAAGTGTGTCCTCTATTGAGAGATGTTTTTTTCTATTCGGAGTGTCATTAATAAAAGAGGTTCTACTGTACATACAAAAACATTTCAGATTGGTGACGTCGTTTGAGGCAATAACTGCCAACCTAGTGGAGTCAAGAGAATTTCACGACACTTGAAAAAGTTGGTGAGGACATTACCATCAAGGCAGAGAGGGTAAGGGTACATTTTCGATGAATGCTACTCTTATTTTTATACTCACTTTTTGCTGCAGAATTCTACCACTCTTTACAAAACTGAGGGACGTTTTTTCATTTTTACTGTGCCTATCAGTAAGCTCTAAGTTTTTTTAAATTTTTGTTAACTTTATACCTTTACTTCACCAGCTACAAATGAAAGTGGCCTTGCTTCCAGCTGCAAGTGACAATGCCACATTCTCCAATGAAACTGGAGACAGTAACACAACCGTTTTCAATACCACCGTTGAGAGTGACATTTCTATGTCTAACGACACCGTTTACTCATCCAGAACCGATGCTTCATTCAACAGAATATCCATTCCAGCCATTGCATTTAGGAACATCTCAGACAATAAGACGGGAGTAATTTTCTCCTCGTATGCCACAGACATCCTCTTTCCACTTCGCCTCAACCAATCCCAGAACGACACATACAAGGCTATCGGCTCTAATGTTCTATCAGGCACAGTGGCTGGGGAGAATATACAAGGACTAAAACAACCGATAAACATTTCCATGAGTATTATTGTTTCAGTGAGTTACACCTATACTCAGTGTCTAAAGATAGCCTTTTTTTATGTGTTTCTGTTTCAATCTAGAACTGGTCAAATCCAGTGTGTGTGTCCTACAACTTTAGTGAGGGTGATGGTAATTGGTCAACTAGTGGCTGCATAGTCCTGTCAGTTGATGAGGAAAATGAGGTGGTGGTCTGCGGCTGTTCTCATCTCACCAACTTTGGTGTCTTAGTGGTGAGTTGCATGGCTACTGTAAACCATGCTCCATGGGGAACAACGGGCTTTAAAATGCTACAATCCAATTAGTAAGCAAAGTGAGCGTACTAGGGCACGGTAAGTTTTACGTAACTCTAATAGATCTAAATACTTTTGCCATCTTCTGCTGGATGTGTGTTACTCTCGAGTTCCATAGCTAAAAATGTGTTAAGTATTTTTTGTGTTACTGAACACTTTTTACAGGATATAAATGCTCGGGATTCACCACCTAAAGATAACAAACCTCTGAGAATATTTTCGATAGTTGGAAGTGTACTTTCAATGGTTGGTCTTTTCTTCAGTATCATCACTCTCTTGTGCTTCAAGTGAGTTGAATCATGGAAAAAATTATTAATGTACACCTTATGTTTTGTTAATGGTTAAATGTCAATGGGTATATATGCCTTGCAGGAAAATCCGCCAGAAGGAATCTAGCAAGTTCCATGTCCAGCTATGTATTGCCATCTTCTGCATGTTTTTCTTCTTCCTCGTTGGAATCGACCGCACTGAAAGCGAAGTGGGCTGCACAATCTGCTCCCTCTTCATCCAGTACTTCACCATGGCGTCTGTCGCACTCATGGGAGCTGAGGCAGTGCTCATGTTTCACAGACTTATCATTGTTTTCGGTCGCATTCACTTCTTTATTATCTCCATCATTGCCTGGAGTAAGTATATACAAGTCGGTAAACGTGCTGTTTATGAACAAAAGGCAATCGCCATAATTTTTATCCAACTGTTGCTGTTGTATATTAGTTAATTTGCTCATACATAGTTGCCTAAACCTGCATGTAACATAATTGTGTTACTTTTTTCGCCAGTTCTTCCAGCTCCATTCATTGTCATTGGATTAGCTACTCTTGGATCTGGCCACAACTATCTCATCTCCGAAGGAAATTTGTAAGTGTCTCACATTCATAAGGTGGTCAAACGAGTTTGTAACCTTTCTCTTTATGTTCAGCTGCTTCATTAGCCACATTGGAGTGTTCTTTGGCCTGTTTTTGGGACCAGTCCTGGCAATTGTGTGTTTCAACACCGTCATCTTTGTTATAGTTCTCAGAGTTCTCATCAAGCACTACCTGCGAAAAATAGATGACATTGACAACAAGAAGAAAGTTTTCGGAACTTTCAAAACGTTTCTTAGCGTCGTTTCGATTATGTTCATGTTTGGTCTACAGTGGCTGTTTGGAGCTTTTACAATCGCACAGGCATCCGAGGCATTCCAGTGGCTCTTTGTCATATTTTCAACCCTTCAGGGAGTGTTCCTCTTCCTCTACTTCTGTGTTCTGGCTCAGGACGCTCGTGAACACTGGCTGAACCTTCTGACACTAGGCCGCAGAAAGCTCCAGAAACGAAGTCACATTGTCTCGTTCCAGCCACAGCCACAACGATCGAAAGCATAGCTCATCGTCTGGTTTGACAACCAATCCAGACTACACCAGCGCCACACTCAAGAAAAACATTTTACTTGCTTCTCCTAGTTCGTCTAGTAGGACCAACTCAATCGGTGAAAGTTCAGCATCCGAAATGGCCTCCCGAAGAGCTGCCCTGTTTGCCCTCCCTACCAGCATCACGGAAGAAAAAGAGGCCGAGACTGAATTTGTAATCACCAACGGAAATGTGTCGGACCGAGATGATAGCGAATCAGATACATCTGAGGAAATTGAAAAGGTGGACCTGTGTACTACAATCACAAATACTGCCACAGCTGCAGAAGTCCCTCCACACATTCTCGAGAGACGATTCAGGTTCCACCACACCCCACTCCCAACTAAAGAAGTTGAAAAAGTCGATCTCTCGACTGCACCTCCAGTGACACCCAGACCTATTGTGATGCCAAAGGAACCAACAGTTGAAATTCCTCCACATGTCCTCGAAAGGAGGAGGTCTAGTGCTTTTCAAAAACCAGCAGAAATTAATGAGCTCTCTGTATTAGAGGAAACCGAGGAGAAAGATGATAATGGTGAAGAATGGGAACTCGATGATGCAGCTAACTTTTTTGAATTCGGTGATGATTTCATGCAACTGTTGAGCCAGATGTCTACAATCACAGATGGAGACTTTGAAGACACATCAAACCTGTGATCCATTAATTTTGTGAATCATTTTTTACTTGAACTCATCCTTATTTGTAATAAATTAAATTTGATCTGTAGCTATAATGTCTCGTTGTTAAAGTCCATAAACTAAATGTCATATGAAAACATGTAAGTGTATAATTATACATCAAAAATTAATGTGTCATAATTAATTATGTTTTATTGACAGATTTCATGTTCAATCTGTGGTAGATCTCAATGGTAGTTTCATGACATGGCCTTAGATCAAAGTCATTGCAGCCAATGGTAAACTGGCCCTAAAAAGAAGAAGGCATTAAACAGTCCTGGTAGAAAAAAGGTATATACCTTTGACTTTTGAAAGTAATCTAATCCTCTGCCCATTCTCACTATCCAACCATTACTGAACCTGTGAGAGAAAGGATGAGCAGGTTTAACCATAAACTCTCTTGCAGTAGCCCAGTTAGCATTCAGATGTGTGTGGGTAGTGCATCACCTGATCTCTCTATCGTGAAGAGTGTCTGAATACTCCACTGTCAAGACCACCGAATAGTCCTTTAAACTCTCCTCTAACTCTTTCAGAGATGATGCCTGTAGCGACTAGCACATAGAACAAAGAGCCATTAGAAACCATTCTCCCAGTCTCACACTCTTCTTCTCCACGTACCTCAGTCTGAGGCTCTCTGCCAGTTATCAGACAAATGGCCTTCAGCCTGCGACAGTTCCTGACGGCCAGCTCACAGAAACGCACAAAGTTGTGCAGCTGGTGTCTGGCCCTGATGTAGGGGTCTCTCACTGAAATACTCTCCACATTGCCATCCATACATCCACCAAACACAGAGCTGTAGCTGTGTCCCTTGTCTCCTGGTCTCACCTGAACACACCTTACTTTCTCTGTGGCCACTGCAACAGACAGGTGGCGAGACCTGACTCTGATGCAACCCAGGTGCTCTATAAATATAGTTACCATCTCCGTCTCTGGCCTCCTGTTTGAGTACTTCAGCCCTTGCCAGATACTCTTCTGCCTTCTTTCGCAGTTCCTTCTTTTCTTCTTCACTACACCCTACCGTCCGGGATAGATAATTATCACACTCAAGGTCCGGCAGAGCAAACAATAGACGATGATGTGCACCTACCTCCCATCACCCTCAGGAGGTTCTGTATACCTTCCTCGTAGCAGATGAGAGCCTCTGAGTATCTCTGGGCCGAATCCAGCTCCACCGCTCGCTTCAGAAGGTCCTTCGCAGCGTCCATCGGGATCCTACTCAGATACGCTGTTCCCCGCCCACTTATCGCCACACGTGGGCATGCGCGTCAAACTAGGAAACCAGAGCTCCTCTGCCCCTATACTGAAGCTGTGATTATTCAAGTCCTCCACCATCAGGGCAAAAGGAGACAAACCAACCAACAGTATAGTACAGTATTATTAACCTTTCGCATGCGCGCATGCGCAGCGAGGGTTACGCAGTCGGTCTGTGTGTGTGCGTGTGTGCGTGTGTCCCTGTGTCCGTCCGTCTGTCTGTTCACCGTTTTTCTCGGTAACCGCGGCAACTCTGAGCGTGAAACGTGGGACATATTATCAAGAATATAGGAGGCATGCACGGTAAAATAAGATTCTGGAGCGGAGAAGGCCGCGGGAAGCTGGTGAAACGGACCGCTGCCGAGGTGAGTGTGCGTCAAATAGAAATCCCGGACGTACTTATAGCTTTGCGCGTGTGGAGAATATTTGCTGGTCTTCCTGTATTGAAGGTTTAACAAGTATTATACAGCTGATCTGATCTTCCCTGAGACAGCCAACTATTGAACCTCTATAATCAACAGTGGCGAGGGTTATGCACTTTGATTGACTATCATTGGAGGCCTCTATTTCGGTTTACATTTGCCAATCAACCTGATGAGCATTCCAACGATTTTGTGGAAACATCAGGGCAAGAAGAGACAAGCCAACCATTTGCTACTATTTTGACTATCATTGGAGCATGGAATAGCAATACACACTATCTCCCTGCACCTATATGAATCCCTCTTATGTCTCTATTTCGCTGTATATAAACATCTGCTAATCCACTCTCCAACCTCTATCAACGATTATGCATTTTTTTGTGTGAATATCGTGGCAAGAAGAGACAAGCAAGCAAACCATCTGTTTTACTTTGACTATTGTTGAAGTATGGAATACTAATGCATTCTATCTTCCTGTACTTCTTGCTACCTATATAGCTAGCTACACCAATCCTACTTTCCATTTCCTGTTCCCTTGGCAATCTCCAAAATATTGCAAATGGTTGGCTTGTGTCTTATTGCCCAGATGTTTCCACAAAAAATGCAAAAGACGATTGGAAAAAGTAAGTGAAATAGAGGTGCAAAATAGGTGCAACTATTCCATACTCCAATGATAGTAGAGTGTCAATAATTTTGCATTTTGTATACGGACACCAGTGGAAGAACAGATCAGCAAACCATACAAATAAAATGGACAATCATTGAAGTATGGAATAGTATTGTCCACTTTCTTTCTGCACCTCTATATACCTACATAGCTTCACCAGTCCCTCTTTCACCTCTACTCTGCTGTATAGCTATATATCCCTTGCCAACCGCTATTAAGGGTGTGTCAACAATTTTGTTTTTTTTGTGGAAACATCAGGGCAAGAAGAGACAAGTCAACTATTTGTAATAGTAGTGTAACCTTTCTTTTTGCACCTATCCCTACTTACCTTTACCAATCCATCTTGCACATCTACTTTACTGTCCCTTTGCCAAAGAGGGTGTCAGCGATTTTGCATTTTTTTGTAGGAACACTTGTGGAAGAACAGATAAGCCAACAATATTAATAAGTTCAACTATCATTTGAGTATGGAATAGTATTGTAAAGGTTCTTTCTGCACTTGTCCCTACCTACCTTCTTCCACCTATACTTTACTGCAACAAACACTAACGAGGGTGTCAACGATTTTGCATATTTGGAATGGACACTGGTGGAAAAACAGATGAGCCAACAACATTGATAAGTTAAACGATCACTGAAGTATGGAATAGTATTGTACACTGTCTTCCTGCTCCTCTTTCTATTTAGCTTCACCAATCACTCTTTAGCCTCTATTCTGCTTTTTCCATTTGCCAATGCATCCCCAATCTATAGTCAACGATTTCGCGTTTTTTTGTAGGAACATCAGGGCTAGAAGAGACATGCCAACAGTCCGTAGTTTGACTATTTTTGGAGCATGGAATAGTAATGCTAATTACCTTCGTCGCGCAATAACCCTTGGTCTGTGTCTGTGTGTCAGTGTCTGTGTTACCACGTTTTCTGTCACCAGCGCAACAAACCGGCTAAAAAGCGACAACAACGGGTTCAGCGCTACATTGGCTTCATTTTTAAAATGGCGGATTTCGTAAAAGCTAAAGTTATGGCGTGAAAACCTAGTGAACAAGCCAATTGCTAATTACCACATGCTTATTTCAACCGGGTTCGCTCGCTCTGTGTATCTTGAAGGCACAAGAAGTCACAACGAAGGGCGTGTATCGACTCCCGCATGCTATCTACTAGTGTAGCTAGCCCGTGTCAGACTCTCCGCGAGCGCTACTATGGATAGCCTCCGCCCATCAATTAGCGGTACCGCGCATGCGTAGTGCGCCGCGGGTTTCAGCAATCTATAGTCTTGTTCCCAGACCTATGAATTCTTGTATGGCACAACATATAAGAGTTTGAGCCTGAAGTGACCCATATATACAGATTCATGAAAGTTGCCATCACACTCTATAAGACACACACAGCCAACGAGCTAAACATTGCTACTACGTGTTCCATAGTCACTCCAGGAACTAGCCCGGTTCTCCTTGCCCTCACTAAGAAGTGGTACTTTTTCCTCGTTCTTGGCCCCAGAGTGGAGTCGAGTTTTACTGCCCCTCTCAGAACTTTGCTGCAGGTATGAACTGCCCCGCTCCCTCTCAGAGAGCTGAGGCTTGCGATAGCTAGGGAGGATAATATAAGAGTAGCTAACACGGATTGTACCACAGAAGCCCTAGAAATCAAAGGCACCGCACGCAGTGTATGTGCACTAAGACAACTTATTAGTATGCATGCCATGGTGTATGGTGTGCTGACACAGCCATACACTCACATGTGGTGTATGAGCTCTCGTACACCATGGCATGCATACTAATAAGTTGTCTTAGTGCGCATTCCTGTGGTACAAATTGGTTACACTACACCCACTCGACGGTTTAGTGGCATACACTACTCGTGCTGCGCACTCGTAGTGTACGTCCACTAAACGGCTCGTGGGCATAGTGTAACCTATATTAGCTCTCTTCACTGGGAGAGTTATAGAGAAATATCTGCTTGTTAACCTTTGGATGCCATGGGGATCTACTTAAATAAGTGGAAATTGATGTATAAAGTATTGGCGCCAAGTATTATAACCATAAAATCTTGACTTATGGAGGCTCTGGACACATCTATGTCACTATGTGTCCGTGTCTGGTTAAGTATTTATAGCATACCAGACACATCGGAGGAGGAGAGAGTTGCAGACCACGGTGACAGAGCTGAGGGCCATGGCAGCTGCAGCCATCCACGGCTGGATAGATACTCCCAGTGGAGAAAACACCCCAGCAGCTATTGGAAGACCTAAAGGGTGCAAAATAAAGGTCATCTCTGAGTTCACATGACGCATTCTACATTAGGGTTGACTTTTAGAGCAAAAGCGTATCGTGTAAATCACATGAATGCTAATTAACCCTCGGCGCGCATGCGCAGCGAGGGTTACAGTAGTTGGGTCTGCATGTGTGTCCGTTACTCGACATCTCACTCCTCGCACGTCTGTTCGTCTCACAAAGGATACGACCTGCCTAACGGGCAACGAAGATCAGAAAATGTGGGGTTTTCTCTGAAAATGCTCCGTTGCAAAGCTAGAGCGCTTCTAGCAATGTACGGCTAATGCGTAGTCGGCCATTTTTATCGCTGCGGAGAATGCGCATGCACTTATATTTAGCACAGGCTAGCTTACCTTGACCGGGTCAGCTTGCTCTGTGTATCTTGAAGGCACAAGAAGTCACAACGAATGGCGTGTATCGACTCTCGCATGCTATCTACTACTGTAGCTAGCCCGTGTCAGACTCTCTGCAAGCTACTAGCGGGAGACAACGACTAAACGCATACTAATACAATTAGCGGTACCACGCATGCGCAGTTCGCCGAGGGTTTGCACTTTAGTGCTTTTCATTCTAATCATAAACACTCACGTGTATGCATTTCAGAATCGGACAAGAGGTGTTTTGTCTGGTCTCACCTATGGCATTGTAGAGAACAGCCCAAACAAAGTTCATTCGAATCTTCCTGACTGTTTTCCGCGAGAGATCAATGGCCGCCACAACATCAGTCAGATCATTCTGCAGTGTGTGAAAGTGTGGATGTGATAGAAGGAGCTACAGGCAGTGCCCACTTGTAAGTTCTAACAAACAGACCTTGACTAGGACGATATCGGCAGCCTCGACTGCTACATCAGTACCGGTGCCAATAGCAATGCCAACATCAGCCTGGGCCAGAGCTGGAGAGTCGTTTATCCCATCGCCTACCATGGCCACCTGTGGAATCAAAACACAGAACTGTAATACAACTGCACACACTGATGAAACGTTAATAGGGTTGTATAAATATGACTTGAAATGACAGATTCCACTATTCACACACAAGTTAGTACTCTCGAACACAGTGGTTTCAGGAAAATCTTTACAAGTCATGCCTATACATAGCACTAATGATGGCTCCTTGGCTGCCTACAAGTGCCTAACAAACTAATTAAGGCACAGATACACAAACCAAGTACTGTAACCCTCGCTTGTGCCAAGGGTTAATGTTTGGAACACGTTAGCTGTAGAGCAATAGGTGACCTTAGTTTTGCCTTGCTGGTAGGATTCAATTAGGGTCTTCTTGTGTGACGGCAGCACCTCAGCATTCACATCTTCAGGATAAATTCCAACCTGATGATAACATCAAAAGCATAACCAAACAACGAAAAGGCAAGCTGAGTTGCTCGCCTGTTGTGCGATGGCCTCGGCAGTTCTCCAATTGTCTCCAGTCAACATGGCCACCCTCAGACCCATTCTCCTCAGAGCTGCCACTGTCCCCCTCGCTTCCGGCTTCACCTGGTCAGCTATCGCCAACACTCCACACAATATGCCTGCAAGACAAAGCATGCAAGAATAACTTGCAACAACTGTTAGTAGTACTTATGTAAGCTGTTTTGGTGAGCCTATATAGACAAGTCATGAAAAATGTGCTGGTCAGCATTTTCCATTGTTCTTAGCTCGTAACCCATTTTCATAACCTGTTTTTCATGTAGAATACTATGCATTGGGTAACCAACAGATTTCGTGACTCAAAACTTTCCATAGTTAGGTTTTCCATAGTTATTATGTAGGTAACGACTGACGTTGATGACACTCTACCACAATGTGCATTCTGCGAACATCATGCACAAGGTCGCCTCGCTCGCCTATAGTACATTCTAGCTGACATACTGTTTATAGCTGCCAGTACTACTGTCTGTCCCTGCTGTTCATGACTGACAATGTCCTTCTCAACATCTTCAGGAATGTTTATCCCATTGCGAGCCATCCACATACGATTTCCAACCAGAACCTGCCAATTTGATGAAAAGCACCCTAATTCCTATAATGTCATTATTATTATTATTTTGTATTACCTTGTACTCTGTGGCAAGAGACAAAAGAGATGACACATTATTTCGATCTGACTCAATTATCTCAGCTCTAGAGTACACATTGATTCATAAAAAATTGATAGATATTGACACAGTATTGCTCCACTTCAAACCTGCGTGTGATGACTGATGTTTTATTCTGATACAGAGCAATCTGCTGCTTGGAAGAGTTTAGTTCGATGTCCTTCACCGAGCATCTCATCCCCAGACCAGGCTCTGCTTCAAACTCAGTCACATCACCAACTGGATCACCCCCCAACTCCTAGAGTAATGTATCCACCAATCACACAAAGGCTCCTCCTGCAACATAATTTTGCGAATTTTGGTGGCTGACTTGATTCATGCTCCATTTTCGTGAAAGATTAGGTTTCTAGTGCTATGAAATACAGTGGAACCTCCGATAAGGGACCCTCTGAGATAGGAACAACCTCTCTAAAAAGGACACTTGTTCAACCCCATGCTAATACTTTAGTGTATTATTTGACCTCCGACATGTGGATGACCTCTCTACAAGGGCCCCATAGTTTCCCTTGTTCGGAGGGTATTTGTAATGCCACCTGGTACGTAACTCACACGTGAAGCGAAGCGTGTGATGGCTTCTCCCAGAGGGTGTTCGCTGCGGCCCTCGGCTAGCCCCAGGACTGCCATAAACAGACGAGACGTAAAAACCTTCTCCTTCAGCAGTAGAATAACCCGGACCACTTCAGGCTGACCGTAGGTTAGTGTCCCGGTTTTGTCAAACACCATCACTTTTATCTGTACAAAACGGTGTTTTGTTATACTTTGAAATCCACCAACATGACTGACTGTCGATCTACCTGTCAATACAATAGTTTGGAGTGTTGATAGTCAAGGATAGGCAAGCTTCTATATGATTTTTGCACACTGAGAACACAATAAGGGTATGACCACTTCCTTCTCATGCTACCACATCAATTAGTATCAAATTGCAATATATAATGAGGAAAGTACTGTACAGCCTGGTAATTAGCTAGTAGTACTTTTCGTGGAAACAGTGCATCGACTGAGCTACTGGTACTATTTGTGGGAGACTAACTCTGTGTGCGTTCTCCAGGGGTTCTCCTCCCTTGATGAGGACTCCTCTGCTGGCACCTATTCCAGTGCCCACCATCACAGCAGTGGGCGTGGCCAGACCCAGAGCACACGGACATGCAATCACCAGGACCGAGATGGCATACTGAAACACAGAGTCGATATGCATGCAGTCCGAAGAGCAGCTCTCTCCATTCGATGTGCCGTTGGAAATTGTTGTGTTGCCTCCTGAACTTTTGCACTGCAGTACAAGATCATATATATTGTATGATGACTGAGAGTAAGATCAAAGGAATTCCAGCTAGTCCAAACAATGTAGATGCGTAGTGAGCGCTTCCTGCTCAGTCAACGGGTATTTAGAACATAAAGAGGCCATACAATTTCCCCATACTTCAGCTGTATGTCAACTCATGTGCATAAACCACAGTGGGTCTAGAGGAATTAGAGATAGTAGGAAATTGGCAGCGTGGAATGCAATTGGGGGCTTTTACACTCTTTGTGTGCTGCTTTTTCTTCACCAGAAGGGAGTGTTTTCAGGCCATAAACTGCTCTAGTAGCATATACGCGGTCTGAAAACTAGCGAAACCTGCTTCCCGACGCGTAGGGCTCCCGTAGACTGGAACAGTATTCGGTGACTTTCAGCTTTCTTGCTACTGTAACAGGCTGCATTCAAGAGTGCTGGGTATAGCGGGAGAGAAAGCGAGCCAGAGCGGCAGCTACAAAACTCGTGTGGAGTCTAGCAGCGAAAAAGCATAGCTTTGACGTACCTGTAACATTGAGCTCTCGAGAAATGACCATGGCTTCTGCACAACCGCCCAGCTTGACCAAACTAAAGCGCTTTATTGCAGCTGTCTCTCTCCCGATCGATTGCTAGCTAGCTATAGCTCTCTCTCCGTACACACTCGAGGGTGTGCGTTAAAAAGAGGGCGTTTTGAAAGCTTTTGCGCAATCTCATTGGTCAGAGCCTTACCGCCGGATGTCATCATACAAACACGTTATACGATGGCATTGGCTTGTGGTCTACTGGCACTTATTCCAGTGCCCACCATCACAGCAGTGGGCGTGGCCACACCCTCGTGCCCTATCAAAACTGCCCACTCGTGTACAACCAGTAGACCACGCGCCGCCATCGTATAACCTATACTTGGCAAGTTGTATTCTATGAAATACAAAGCTATGAAAAGGTTAGCTTACCGAGTGGGCAGTCTGGATGCAGACCTCAGAGAAGATAAACCAACCAGAGAAGGTAAGGAAGGAGAGGATCAGAATCAGTGGCACAAATAATCCAGCAATTCGATCTGCTATGCGCTGTATAGGTGCCTAGCAAAAGACAAAGTTTGTCTAACATTTTACTTTAGCACAGTAGCTAGCTTCTTTGTGAATACCTTTGATGTTTGGGCCTCTTCAATGAGGGTCACAATCTGGGACAACATTGTATCTCCACTGACGTGAGTAGCTTCCATGATGAGTGCCCCGTTCTTATTGAGGGTCCCCCCAATCACGTGATCGTCAACCTTTTTACTCACTGGCATCGATTCCCCGTAATTAGTGCCTCGTCAACGAGGGAACTCCCCTCCACAACGACCCCATCCACAGGTATCTTCTCTCCAGGAACAACTTTCAGAGTGTCTCCAACTTGTACCAAATCAACAGGAATTCTCTCCTCACTGTGATTACAGCATGAATGAAACACAAAACATTAAAAGTACAAATAATACCCAACGTAAACCCCCTTTTGTAGCCGAGGGTTAATAACTACCCCTCATCTTTTGGACATAATGCAGACGTACTGTTACATCAAGTGCTGACAACATTTTACCTCTTTATGCGGCCATTGCCATCCATCTGAACTAGAACAGCTGTGCTGGGTTGAAGAGACATCAATTTCGAGAGAGCATCTGTTGTTTTCCCCTGTATATACAAATGTGTAGAATTTGTCTTTGAATTATTAAGAACCCAATATTCACGAAGTCTATGTATGTGCTGACAATTGCGGAAAATGAGTAAAACCATTAAGTGGGAACTAATACATTCCACAAGCAAAGGAAATATGAGTAACGAGCTAGAAATGTATGAAATAGCTGGTCAGTAGACCGGAAAATCCATCTACCTTTGCTATATGCTCCAGAAGTCGGCCAAAGGATATGAACATGAGTAGAAGTGAGATACTCTCAAAGAAGGTCTTGTATTCCAGTCCACTTGAGACTGTGTCAATGATCATCACAACAACAGAGTACACGTAGGCAATGGAGGTGGCGAGAACAACCAGGAGGTCCATCCCAACTGAGCAGTGTCGGAGACCTTGGAGGGCCGCCTTGTAGAATGGATAGCCACTTACAATCTGCAAAAGTAAAGGTTCACCTAAATTGAGACTGTGAATAATACGAGCAACATACCTGGACAAATGTTGCCATTAGAAAGAGTATAAAGCTGCGCAGGTTTGGGCCATTACTGGCAATAGGAGGCCAGTCGTTGGAGGTTCTGCTGCTGTTTCCGTGGTGTATTGTGTGAGGATAGGGAGTGAACTGCAGGATGAACACCGGCAGCCCAACAACCAGACTCACTAGGAACACAAAGCCCCACCTAGATAAATAAAATAAAATCAGACGCGGAATTATTATACAACACGTTATACACACTAAGAGTGGCAGTGCATTATTACATCATTATAGGAGTGTTGGAGTGAGTCCAAGCCTACTCAGGCAGGCAAGGCAGAGTCCAAGCCTAGACCAATGTTGTTAAAGTCAGTTCCTTACTTTTTGATTCCTTGGCTGTGATTCAAAATATGAATTTTCTTTGCTTGCACATTCACATCACACCCACCGTTCTGCAGTAAAAGGTAATAACAATTATTTTTGTGGATGATTGACTGACACCTATCAGAAAGAACCAATTAAGTGTTGCTGATTATGTTACCACACACATCCCTGGAGCTGACTTCCTGAGTCAATAGCATCCAGTGTCCACAAGAAGTGAGTAACATAACCACAAGTTTAATGTGGGTTTGGGAGTGCACAAGAATTGAAGTGAGTAAACATAACCACAAGTCCACAAGTTTAATGTGGGTTTGGAATACACATGACTCAACCTATAGGACCTGCGTATACACAAGAGCAAGCCTTTGTTTAGTAGTGAACACCTTGAGGTAGGCATATAGGTGCAGTTGGCTTGTTTGCTTTGCCTTGCCTTTATTTATACCTCATTGTCGACACACACACACGCTATACACCTCACTTGTGTATACTACTGTAGTCCACTCTGTTCGCTCTGCTGCAAGCAAAAAGCACTCCAACTAAACAGTGGACAGTTGCTTTAAAATAGAACAGCTAAAAAGGCCGGGTTGTATAATCCTAGAAGTCGCAGGTTCAGCTCTGACGCTGGAGTATCACAATTCTTTGAAACACTGTATATACAAACCCCTAAAATGATGGCTGGCGTTACCTTAACAACTTCAACAATGTCCCTCGGTCCGACAATGGTGTGGTCGTACTCTACTATAGCATTTCCTTGTCTGTCAACCGTAACTGCAATGACTCCATCTTTTCCTCCCAGTACCTTCTGTACCGCTTGGTGGACCTGCTCATCATCAACCTATAGGAATGGGGGAAAGTAGTTTTCCCATAGTGAGCGTGTGTAGGATTACGAAAGTATGGCACAGCACACCCAGTGCTACAAGACACAGTGCTGTAACTACATATAAATTGCCTCCAAAATGCACGTGACATTCTCCAGTGCTACATTCAGCGAGCCAGTCGGCAGAGATGAAACAAATGGGCAGTTATGTACAAACTATTGTTCCACTACATATTGATGCACATTAAGAAGAGTCAGTTGGTGTGCTGGTGAAGCATGTTGTACGTAAAGGTAGGGCACAGGCCATTGTCCTAATTCTGCCTGTAGTACTTACTGTAAGCTTTGGGACAATCTGTCTCTGCGTTTTATGTATTTGTTACACATAAAACAGCTCTAAACTATACTTATGGTCACTGTGAACAAAAATGTAAAGAGGTTAACCATAAAGGACAAAGCTTTTCGCTGCGTCAAACATGGAAAACAAACATCTTGTAGCTAGAGACCAAGACTAGTATGTGTCTCAAATCTTTTGTGTGAATCACAACCATGTTTTGTGTAACTAGATACCTTTGAATTGACAGTGAACTCCAATATGCTTCCTTTTCCCGAACTGGCTTCAGGAATATAGACTGCTTGGAATCCAAGGCCATTAATCTCCTTTGCAATCACCTCAGGGGTAATCCTCTCTGGATTATACCTCACAGTCGCCCTCCCTGCTAGCAAAGCCACTCTGGCTGAGTGCACACCTGAGCGTGAATTTTGAATTTATCACATAACCAGTCAACTACTAGTCAACATTCATGAAGGGTTAGCTACCTGTCTTGTTTTTGAGGTGTTTCTCTACTTTTGAGACACAGGCGGCACAGCTGAGGCCAGAGACACTGAACTGAGCTTGCAGCAGATTATCCTCGTCTGAAGACTCAATTGTCACTTTGACAACACTTTCTTTGAGTTCACCTGTGAGTATTGTACATAATTACACTGTTAGGATAGCAGTTGTGTTTTGCTAATACCTCTGGGTAGGCGTGTGCAGCCTCACAACCACTGCACCAGTTGCATAATAATTATGGTGTGGGTGTGCATCACATGGTCTATTGTTACATGAGTATGTGTGTGTGGAGGTGGATTTGAGGCTGTTTAGAATTCTTTGTTTTACCCCATTGACTAGAGCGCAATTTCACACAAACCTGCAGCTCTACTTACAGGTAAATGCTTCTTTTTTCTGACCTGCTCCTTGACTCTTTCTTTTCCTGGAAGTTTTATGATGAAGAGGAGGTCCCTGCTCACCGCTTTCTGTGACTTTATCCATGTCAATGTCTAAGGTCCAATGGATAGAGACATGGGAATAATAATAATGAGAAGATGTATGTAATAAGCACCCTCTGCTGGGTTATGTTCAAACACATAGGTGGATAGCTGTGTGTGTGTGTGTGTGAGATTTTCAGGACTAATGCTCCTGTGTTTAGCTACCTAGCTAACGTAATTTGGGTCAGCAAGGTAGACAAACTCATTCAAGGCCAACCTCTCTACAACTATCTCTCATTACACAGTGACTTATGGAAGTGCAAGAATCAAACAGGGATAGCTACTATATGATGACTCGAAGGAAACAAAAAAGTGGCCAATCTCCCCATACTTAACTCTTGTGTCTACAGTTTCAACACCCAGCAGCTGTCTGTAGCTGTCTGTCTCAGTGCAATGAGGTTTCCAGTCAGTGCTACCAGTAGCTCCAGCAAATTAATGGCAAGGTTATGGAGCCAGTATATAAGGTTTTAGACAAACACCACAACCACTCTGGCCTAAGCAATGTTGTATATTATGTGGTTCCTTATCTTGTGAGATATAGCATGGCTCAATACATTAGCATGGGAGGATAGGTTGCATATACATTGTGCAGTGATTGTGAGTTTGTGACCACATGAATGTGTTCTTAAGCTGGCCCAAGCCATGCCGCAAACAATGCAGCTAACATCTGCAGACATGTGCTCAGTGATTCACATTTCACCACACAGTCTGCTGTGTATGTAGCTACAGCCAGAGAGCTACTTGGACTGCAGAACATAGCCACCACTTGTATGGGTATATACTGTTTACGACTCTTCCAGTCATAGCTGTATATACATACAGGGGCATCTGATATACTGAGGCATGCATGAAGGAGCATTGCCAAGTTCTTTAATCAGCACCTGGGTGCACAAGCCAGATCCAAGAGTCCAATTAGTGTATATACATACAGGGGCATCTGATATACTAAGGAATGCATGAAGGAGCATTGCCAAGTTCGTTAATCAGCACCTGGGTGCACAAGCCAGATCCAAGAGTCTAGTTGTATGAGAGCATCACAGAAAACATAATGACTGCGACACATTTTACTGGTAATTGTGTGCACCCTATAATAGGTACACATAGTCTGTACATTATCAGAGATGAGCACAACCCCTTAATATTGTAGGTGTCCTATTCTACCTAGCTACAAGGGTGTGCGATTGGTATGTATTACACAGTGTTGAATAATCTTGTCAGAGGATAATTTTATTATACATTCTGGGTTTTTAATACAACAACAGAAGAACGTACTGCTTATTCCAGTGACAACAAAACCCATGTCCACAATGGCAGTTTCAAAATCTTCGGCGGTAACTGCGGCGCTGTTGTACACCACGACTGCTTGACCTTCCTCGAGTGAAACGGCGGAAGACTCCACTCCAGCTATTTTACCGAGTCCGCTCTCGATTACGGCGACGCACGAGTTGCAGGTCATTCCACTTACGTCTATCCTACACTTATCTTTGGCCTTTGAGGCCGCAGGCGCAGACAGTGGCGCGGCTTCAAACCCCAATTCCTCGATCTCTTCTGCCAGTTTCTGCGAATTAGTGAATCGTGGGTCGTAGATAACCGTTGCCATACTGTCTTTGAGTGAAACTGTAATTGCTTCAACACCGTCACTTTTCGCCAGGTTTTTCTCGATTATTTGGACGCAGTTCTGGCACACCATTCCCTCCACTCGGATGTTCAAGCGCGACATAGTTCGTGGAGCGCAACTTTCCCCGTTCATTCTAGCAAAACAAGCGCATCTATTCTTTCGTTGGTATAGCTATAGTAGAAAACGACGTGCCGTGTGCACCACCTCCACGGAATTAACAGACCTACGCACTGTGGCGTGTGCAATAAGTAATTAGGCGTGCCCCCAGGACGTGTGGACCGGAGCCTTGGCAACGATAACGCACCATCCAAGCGACACGGGTACAGCAGCAGATACCTATACTTGCACTCTCCACAGCCTTACCTTTTGATAAAGCTGCCGATAACTCTACTAGTGAAAATGTTGAACATTGTTGGCGAGCGGGAGCGACCCAACTTGGGATCTGCCCGCGATGTTCGGGCTGCATAACCTTCCGTCAGCGCACAGCTTTCCTTTCGTGAAGCAAGACAGACTTACCTGTCGCCGTACTGTACATTGGCAGAACGGTACTTACCTTATGCTTTCAAGTCGTGGTCCACCAGGCAGCTGGGCATGCAGCAGTATCTGCAAGAGCTTACTTTGAAGTTGCATCTTCGAACCATGAAAATTGGGAAGAGGTACAGCCTCGGTCGGTTGCATCATAGATACTATATATACCCTACGAACGGGATTGGAAGCACAGCCTAATCAACACCTTTCGCGTGCACAGTCCTCGATCCTTGTTGCCGCGGAAGTACTTATCACTGTACCGGAAACATCAGCGGATGTATCTTTTTTAACGAAAATATTGTAAAATTTCTACACATATGGCTCTTCTCCAGGCTCTGAACTATGGCACTGACTGCATGTACAGTATGCAGGGTGGCAGGAGAGTCTGTGAAGAGTCTGCACATACTCGGCGACACTTCTTGGCCATAGATATGGATCTTCCAAGAGAAATTCGCTTCTATGGCTAGGCTGTACTTGATGTCTGGAACTGAACGACTGGTGTCCAGCAGAGATACAACCACCTTCTCTTCGGCAGTTTTAATTATCCACCCTAGAGCAAAGAAACAAACATGCACATGAGTACAAATACATGTACATGTATGTATACATGTAAGTGTAGAACAAAAGGTACAATATACATGTACATGTTGTATAACAAGAGTCAAACCATACATGTAGATACTATACTCTCGGAGAGTATAGTATGATCATACTATACTCTATGGTATGATGGTCAAACTAACCACTTCGGAAATCTCCAATTTCCGCAAGTCGTCGTCCGAGGATGTCCACACTGAGAGAAGGTAGGCTAGAGAGTGGTACAGACACAATCAAGGGAGTACACAATAGCTTTTCAGCATGCCTTGCTGTGTGCTTCTTCCTCTCCCTATTCTTGATGTGTCTGCCGAGTCGAAACTTTCTTGGCATGCTGCCTGTAAGTATGAAACCGTACCACGGGCATGCAACAGTTGAGTGTCATAACTCGGGCAAGGTTAAAGTGCAGGACTATGAAACAAAAGCCAAACCACATGCTGATGTTCTGAATACAACGGGAGACAAAGGTACACAAAGCGAGGCGCTAGGATTAGGCAAAAGTACGCTTATGGCGCTCCTAACACAAGCGACTAAAATGTTGTAGCTATGTTCATATACCCCAAACCACATACTCAACATTTGAGATGACAGTAAACAACGCATTTTGCATCTAGCTGTAGTAGTTTAGGTACAGCAGGTACACATAATAATACTCAGGTGGCTGCCATAGCACTAGGGCCATAGACCACGCACCCAGAGCAATGGGCGGAACCATTAACAAACGAACATACACCATATGAACATGCGGTGTCTGTCTCACCTCCCAAAAAAGCATCATTCACAAAGACAAACAGGCTATCCCGCGCTAGGGGTCAGAAATCACAGATACTATACTCTCCGAATAGAGAATAGTATCTATGGCACCGCAAACATACTTTAGCTCACCTCCAGGGTTCAAAACTCCACAAAGAGCCGTCTCTGACTGTCTCTGCTATTCCTTCATCCCGCCTTTTCGCGTTTCTGTTTGCGCGCGTAACACCTCGCGCTATAGTGGCTGGAAACGAGGAATGCGACACGAAAAATGTACATACACGGTTAACGGGCGCACATGATCCGCTTCCAAGTTATACATTTTCGCTAGATCGCCAATTATTGTTGTATGGCAGATGAACGCCTCAAATCAGTGTTGTTTTGGCCGGAAGTTTTGACCTCAAGAATGTTAAGTGGGCGGATCCCTGACAACAGTGGCTATAATCCAGGCAGTATTGAGCTGGTGACGAGTCTCCTGGAAGTTCAGACTCCTGGTGTGAATATTGTTTTGAGACCTAACATAGCAAGAGTTAGAATTTATGATGATGAAGGTTGGCGTTTCACTCTGTTTGATTTACTCAACCACTGATTTATATATGTGCTTCCTCAGAGGTTTCATCAAAGCCGTTGGGCTTCCTGACACCAACGTTCTCTCGCTTCCTACCAGCCGCTGACAGTGCAATATCATCTGTATTAACCAGCACTGCCTTCCCTTTTGGAGCTGGTACGATATCAACGGTCTATGTAAGTTAACTATTTAAGAGATATGCAAGTGTATTGACAGAGTCAGTCAGTGTTAGTCCCTCTCCCTTTCTAATGATATGCTTGATTAACTTGCTCAATTGCGTTAAACTTTATTGTATCGCTCTTTTGCTGGCTTGATTTGTGAGAGAAAATGTTGTAATACACGGAATGACAGAATGACAGACAAACATACTGTAACACTTACTGCCCGTGTGTGCCGAGGGTTAACCGCAAATTAATGTTAATTTCATGTGTACAATATACAGATTGCAACAAATGGATACATAGCAATGGGTCAGGATTCTCCACCCAGTACTACTGCTATTCCAGCTATCCCTGGAGATGTAAGCGTCTTAGCTCCGTATGGGTCTGACATTGACATAACTCTGGGAGGCAGTGTCCACTTCACTAATTTTATATCCAGCAGTGCAGAAATCAGTAGCTTAGTACGATCCCAGACCAGCAACTCTTTCATTGGTGAGAGATTACTTGTTGCAGAATGGAGACTTGTTCCTAGACGTGACGGAGATCCGGTGAGTGGAGCTGAGTTTGTGTTCTTTTTTAAATATGTCTTTTTGTTCTTAGAGTGTGACGAATTCGTTTCAAGCCATCATTATCACCGACAATATCGCCACATATGCTGTGTTCATCTATGAGTGTGGAGGGATGGAGTGGGGTGGAGGGGTGATAGGCTGGCAAGCCAGAGACTACAAGTATGAAAGTCACAATTTTACTGAGGAATCCCACTCGAATGAAATTGGATGCCTCGGCTTTTCAAACTACTCTTCTCTTGTGTATAGAATATCTCGTGAGTCTGACGTAGATTGTGAACCAAGTGTGTATTTTTTAAACCCTTGATACCTTGAGTGTGTGTCTCCATTCAACATTCCTTTTTCACTTTTGTCTGTGACAGACCCCGTCTGTGACAGTACCAGTTTCTTGTGCGAGGATTCTCTTCGCTGTATTGCCACTGACTCCCTGTGCGATGATGGCATTGGGGATTGCGAGGACGGCAGCGATGAAGATGACTGTGTAGATCAAGGTGAATACTTGAATAATGTTTGGGTTAGGTCAAAACTTCCGTTTTTCTTAGCTCCAACGACAATCTCCAGCTGCGTTGATAAGTTTTTATGCTTGGACTCGCTCCGCTGTATTGCCACTGAGTCTGTGTGTGATGGGGCCAGTGACTGTTTGGACGCAAGTGATGAGAGTCGCTGCAACTCAACTGGAACGGCAAGTGGCGGTGGTAAGTTAACAGAGTTAGCAGAGAGCCCATTTTACAATCACTGGAGGCTTAAAGATCTCTCCGACCTTACCTTTAAGTCCTTCCCTCTACTCATGTGTATGTGTATTACATGGCGATGCTAGGTTAGTAGAGAAAAAGTTTACAGGGGTTAAGTCTTGACCTAAAAGACATTCTGATGAGTAGATACAATGCTTATGTCACTTGAAACAGAAACGATATTATCTTGTTTTCTGCAGTGAATGCTGTCGGAGCAGCCGTAGCGTCGTCAGTGGCCTTTATTATTGTGGTCGTGTGTGTCGGATTTTGTTCCCTTCCGTGTATTTGTGAAAAATGCGATAAGATGAAGGCTGCTAGACGCTCAACTGCGATAACAGCAACAGCAACAGCAACAACAAGAACAACAACCCCAAGGATACCAAACACTTCCTTTAGACATGTAGAAGCTTTAGAAAATTTTGATGAAACTTCCTTCAGCCTGCCACCTCCTCCACATCGCCCCAAACCTGTCGAAGTCCAGCCACCTCAGCCTGCCCAACCTGACTATGATGTCGCATGTGGTGCAGCCTATTCCACCTTTCCAAAACAAGCCTCTGTGATCAAGGTTTGTCTGATCCCAAATACAATCTTATCCCCTGAAGTAATAGGTCATTGTCCCATGTAGAGTTTTTAAATTTCTGTTTGTTGCCTAGTATTAATGTTTTCAAACATCCATGCACCCAGATGCACTTGTAAAATGTTCTGCAGAATCAGGCCTATACAAAAGCACTAGTTGGTATAGCTATTTATATACCTCAAACAAGTGTAGTTACTTCACTCCTCATTCTCCAGGGTTATTCATATCCTGTTTCAACTGCTCAGCCCCGGCCAAGCGCACCTCCACCCTCCGAACTCAAGAATCTTCCCCCATCGGAACCGCCACCTCTTTATAACCCTTTTTAGACAATACACTCGGATACTGTCCTGAAAGTCATCCACTCTCATTTTTATATTGTGGTGATTTTTAGTCATTCGTGTCTATCAGAGAGTCGGT